GGAGTCCCGCCCCTCTGAGGCTTTGCCAGAGCAAAGCCTCAGAGGTGTGGGACCCCTCCGCCTCCCCGGCTTTGCTCCAGGTGTCCCTGGTCTGCTGGAGACAGTCCCCAGCAGACCAGGGGCACCTGGAGCAGCTTTTCTCGCCCCGGAGGTCAAGGTGGCGGGACCGCTGCGCTTTGGGCGGTCCCGCTGCCTGCGAGCTCTGGGGCGAGAGAGCCCCGTTCGTAAGTGCGGATCCGACATAAGTCGGATCCGCGTAACTCGGGGACTGCCTGTACTGTAAAGTAACTTCTTAAGTTGGGATGTTAAACAGTTAACGGGTAAGCATATTGGTAAGCCTCATAAGGCTTACTAGTATGCTTACTTGTTAATTGCCCTTGCTGATGAACTCTGGTGGCCATCAGCCATGCTGGATTGGAGCAGCTCCATTTGTGGAGAGGCCAGTGGGCAAGGCAGCAGGATCCCACAGCAATGGTGAGTAGTCACAGCTGGGGTGGGGCAGGGTGGCAGGCCCTAAGTTAAAATGAATAATTGGCAGGTTAGGAAAAATAGCTAATAGAATAAACACAACTGATTAAGTTTTATATTTAATGTCATGTGCAGATGTTTCTTCAGTTCCAATACAGGAATTGTGGGCAGGCTTAGAAAACTGAACGCTGTTGTCTTGCTTCCAGGAAAATGCTGATCCTCAGAAGATAGCATTCCTTCTACGCAAACAATGGACCTTATATAGCGTGACACCCATGTACAAATTTTCTTACGGTAATCTGAAGGAGTATTCTAGACTTCTGAGTGCCTTTGTTGCAGCTGAAAAGCAGAAAGGACTTGCTGTAGAAGTGGGCAATGATCTTGGTATCAAAGTGACTTTGTCCGCCCTTTTAGGACTGAAAGGTACGGATCAAGACCAGGCTGCAATCCTTGTCCAGGTAAGAGCTGCAGCTAGCATTGTTTATAGTAATGGGGTGTCTTAATCCTTCGGAATTGCCTCCCTGTAACACCTTACAATATTTGTGGCTCCTACTATAGAAATTGAATCACAGGATACATGACAAACTTTTGCATTTCTTTGCTTTTAATCAATGTGTGTTGTCTGTGTTTAACATCTTCAGGAGACAACTCTTTATAAACTGTCAGTTGGTTCAAGCATAGACTTGGGGACAAATCTTTGTTAGATCACAGAAGCAGGAGTTGACTCTCTTCAGTTCTCTTCTTGACATAAATTTAATGTATGACCTTGCATGGGTCATTTTATTTAATTGGTAAAATGCATATGATGCTACTTCCTTGCCAGTGTTAAGGTCTATTAACACTGAGCTCCTCAGAGGAAAGATGCTATTGACCTGTAACGTTCTGTACTACAATATAGGAAAATTAATGCACAATGCAAATGCTGCATTAAGCAGCACTAATGTACACTTGAGTCGTCTGTTCCCACTGAAGAAAATGGCAACACTTCCACTGACTTTAGTGGGAGACGGATGTAGGTCCCAGGCCTTCTATAGGTGTAATAGATGAATTGTGAAAACTCTTTAAATGATCAAGATGACTAACTTGATTATAATGGCATAAAAATCAGTTCAATGCAGTGGCAAAAATTGAGGTCCAAGGCCAAAGTTTTTAAATTGGACACCAAACCCAGATAGCAACTTCAGCACCTCTGAAAATCAAACCACTGACTTGAATGGAGCTGATTCCTTCTGATCTCTTGTTAAAATAGTATGTTGGAGAAAATTCTTGTACTTTCGCAAATCTTATTAGAACATCCTATGCTTTGGCTAAGAACTCTCAAGTGCATTCTAGAACTTTGGAGATGTAATAGACTTTTTTTTTTTTTTTTTTTTTAAAGATTGCATCAAGATCTCAGCTTCCAGTTGAAAATGCAGAAGACAGAGTGGTGTGGTCAGGCTGGTTCTGCTGTGTATCTGGAGATGATTTTTTGGAAAATGTACCAGAGGATTTTACCTGTTTATCTTTGTTCCTTGCAAATGGAGCGGAGAGTTACACAACTATAGTTGGCACTTGGTTTCAGAAGACCTTTGACTGTTGTTTCAGTCGTTTAACCATCAGCCCACTCAATCTTGCATGGATGGCTGCAATGTGGACTGGGTGTGAAGTTGACAGTCATATGGCTGCAACAGAACTTGTTTTCTCTGTGCCCTGCCTTCCCCAGACTCTGGACATTTCATATGCCATACACCCTGAGGATGCAAAAGCCTTATGGGACACAGTCCAAAAAACTCCAGGGGAGGTTACTCAAGAAGAAGTGAATTTATTTATGGATTGTCTTTATTCTCACTTCCATAGACACTTTAAGATCCACTTGTCAGCCACAAGACTGGTGAAAGTCTCCACATCTATAGCCTCAGCACACTGTGATGGGACTATAAAGGTACTAAACTAACTTTCACTTACGAGGTTTTGATTGATACTGTTCTAGGCACTATAATTAAGAGTGCTTCCTGGCCAGAAAGAGAGCTGTCCTTAAAGTTGGAGGCTTCTTGGTACTCATAACAATTTCCCCCTCTAAAAAAAAAAAATAAAAACTTCAGTTTGAGACATAACTAGTTTCTAGTGGTCTTTAAAAAAAAAAATTAAAAACTTTAGTTTGAGACATAACTAGTTTCTAGTGGGCACCACAGCATAGCTGGCAGTTGTGTAGTCAAGATTTTGTATTGTGGTGAATCCTCAGTTATTCTGTTGGGTGTTATACAAGCATAGAACAAAAGACAGCTCTTGCCTCATTTTGGCTAAAATTGATTTAAAAAACACAAACTTACGAAATCTACAGCCAATAGATACATTTTAATTATTTGGTATTAACTTTTTTAAAAATAATATTCCTATGTTTGTGTAAGGGGATAATTTTTTTTCACTGACATGGAAGTCCTGGAATTTGCGAGTTGTAGGTATCTCTGACTTTCATCCCCATGGGGCAGAGAGCTGCAGGGTCCCCCCACACCATTGGAAACTTTCATAGTTGACCAGCCATTGCAGGTGGTGTGAGGACTCCACAGCTGAGTTCCCCATTTTGTTATGGATATTTTTAGTAAAGTCACAGTCTTCTGTCAATGTTCCTTTATTGCTCAAAACATGTAAGTCATTTTATTAAAAATATCCATCGCTATGCCATTAGTCGATAATAGGGGGCGGGGGCGCGTTCGCTACCCTCACTGCGGCTCTCTAGTTTAAATGTAGTTGAAGCCAGACATGCAGGTATCCCAGCTGTTGCTACATTTAAAATACAGAGCCACAGCGGGGGTTGTTCCTGGGGGCAGTGCAAGCTGGGATTAAGCAGTCCCAGCTTGAACCGTGTCTGGCACAGCTGCGGCTGTACCTCCCCAGAGACAGTGCTGAGGGGAACTGGCTTTTAAGCCTGCTTCCTCAGCGCTGGCTCCTGCTTCTTCCCCTCCTTGCTGCCTGATGTGAGAGTAGTGACTAGACTACCCGATAAGCCTAAGCTACTATCTGAGTAGTTGCTTCAAAATACAGGACTATGTAGCACTTTAAAGACTAACAAGCTGGTTTATTAGATGATGAGCTTTTGTGGGCCAGACTCACTTCCTCAGATCAAGTGGGTCTGGCCCACGAAAGCTCATCATCTAATAAACCATCTTGTTAGTCTTTAAAGTGCTACATAGTCCTGTATTTTGCTTCAGCTACACCAGACTAACACGGCTACATTTCTATTACTATTCTACATGAGTAGTTGCTTGTATCTCTCTACTCAGCAGCCAAGCTCCCCTCTTCCCCAGCGGTCCTGCTGATCTTCTACTCTTCTCTGTGCCTTCTGCCACTGAAACAGTTTTGTAGTGTTGAGGCTCTGAGGGAGAGGGAGAAAAGAGAATGTGGCACGCTCAGAGGAGGGGGCAGAAAGGGACAGGGGGAGGCTTGTGGGAAGGGGTGGAGTGAGCAGGGAGGGGGAGGAGCAAGTACAGGAGTAGGTGGGGTCACAAGCACCTTAGCTAGAGCAGAAGTTGGAGCCTATGAGTGAGGCAACACAATGGCTGGGACTTCTCTCTCCTTTCAGAGGTGGTGAGAGCAGTGTGCCCCTTGAGCTGCTGTTCTTTTCCCAAAGATGAGAGAAGATCAGAAAGGCCTATGTGGAGAGGAGCAGCTAGCCCTCAATGTATACCCACTAGGAGGAGTCCAATAAAGAAATAGGGAAAGTAGTAGGGTGACAAAATTAACCTGCAGTCTAAATCCTTCATTGCCCTCTGTTATTTAAATGTGTAGAAGAGACTTTGACAACTGATATTACTGTAGTGATTTAAATAGCTTACTGTATTTCTGTTCTGACTACAGCTAATGGTTTTCTTGCAGATCCTACATAGCAAGCACTTAATAGGAGTGTTGATGCTGTTGACAGAGCTGGCGATATCACAGATACAGTGAAACCTTGTGCTCTACGTCTGTTGGCCTTGAACTCATGACAGATGCTCTGCTTGGATCATATTAAGTCCATCTGCAATATATTCATGTTTGAGACATCGACTGCAGAAAGCTGGCTTTCCTGCAGATTTTTTTAGCCTCTTCACAAAATGCCAGTCCACAAAGTGAAAGCATTGTCGTTTCATTTGACTTCAGTGGTTCCTGGACTGAAATTCACAATGGGTAATGAAGCAGAGGCCCATAGGAAGAAAATAATTTAGATGCATGTTTTGCTATAATAGAATGGTCACATCAATAAAGTAACATTTTGTAGTGGCATCTAAGTATTATTCATAGAGTCAGGCATAAGATGGAACATTGCTCCTGCTGCATAGCCTATAGTGGTGGTTCTCAATCAGCCCACCACTGTGCACATGCAGCCTCCATGCCATAGAGATAGTATATGTGTTGCTATTGAAGTAGACAGTGATGCCAACTCAGGTACTCTACTGCTCTTGAATGTCCGTATTTAAATATTTTTGATATTTGTGCAGTACCTGGCACTATGACTTCTAGGTGCTACTATAATACAACAGGTACAGCTTGACTTTTCAGAAGTGGTGAGCATTTGACAGTCCCCATTTAGCCATGGCTACAGTTGGATAAAAAAATACCTAAATATTGATTGTTTAGAACAATTTCCTAGTCCCATTTTTGAAATTTTCTGGCTTAAGTGTTCATTTAAACAAAAGTACATTCTAGTACTGAGAACAGATACAAAGGTTGGCTGCTTGAAACTGTTCCTGTTTGTAGTGAGGAGTTCGATTGTGAAATCTAATGACTTGCACTGATGATCAGTTTAGGAGAAAAATTCTGACACTTATCCCAAAATTATAAGTCTCACTGCTGCTCTGATACCAAAATCCCTCGTTTGCATTACAAGAGCTGAAATAAATATACTGAATTTAATACAAAAATGTAATACTAGCCCATATTCAGTCCAGCTTTGACTTACGTAGCTCTGAAAGAAAATTCAATACCATGTACAGCAGACTTCCAATAATCTGGCACCTTTGGGACCGAGGGGGTGCCAGATTATCAGGAGGTACTCTGGCAGGGGGGCTGTGGTGTGTGGGGGG